GCATGTGTGTTGGTCTTGGGCTTGAACTGGGGGCCTGGGCGCTGTCCCTGAGCTCTTTCACACAAGGCTGGCGCTCTACCACTTGAGCCACGGAGCCACTTCCGGTTTTCTGGTGGTTTATTGGAGATAAGAGTCTTATGGACTTTCCTACCCGGTCTGGCTTTGAACCTTGATCCTCAGATCTCAGCCTCCCAAGTAGGTGGGATGACAGGCGGGAGCCACTGGTGCCCAGCTGAGCTCTCCCCCCACCCCCAGTGGAGATACAACTGGTATTTGAAGTAACGCTATCGTTGGCTGGTGACAACAAACAAATTCTGCAAGACCATGCTCCGGTCTCTAAGTTGCGAGAACTTGCTATCTCCCCCCCAATATCATGACAATATCCAAAAGACCATCTCTACGCATTCCAAACTTCTCCCAAGGCTTCCTAGTAGGGAAGGCTCCGGAAAGGGGGAACACCTGTTCCCCACACAGTGGAGAAGGGTCTCGGGGACCAGCCAAGATCGCAGCTGTGGAGAATGGAAGCGGGGCTCGCTCATGGTGCCAAGCGCCCTCACTATGGAGGGATGTTGCGTGGACAAATACAAACGGCCTCTTCTAGGCTCGATTCTAAGAGAGAGGGTGCTGGGCCAACCAGAAACACAGTCTTCCTCAGTGGAGGAATGAGGAGAAATTAGTTATTATTTATTTTTTTGCCAGTCCTAGGGCTTGAACTCAGGGCCTGGGCGCTGTCCCTGAGCCTTTCTCACTCAAGCCTGGTGTTCTACCACTTGAGCCACACCTCCGCTTCTGGCTTTTTGGTGGCTTCCTGAAGATAAAGAGTCTTGTGGACTTTTTCTGGCCCAGGCTGGCTTTGAACCGCCATCCTCAGATCTCACCCACCTGAGTGGCTGGGATGACTGGCGTGAGCACCAGCACCTGGCCTCTCCCCACACACTTTCCTTGCCTCTACAAACACATTTTCTCATGGGATCCTGCGGGGGGGGGAGGAGGGGGGGAGAAGGGGTGTGGAGGACAAGGAGGAGACAGAGTAAAAGAGCCACAGATCTTCCTGGCCCATCCTAATGACCTCAAGAAGAGGCCTTTTGCGGTGGAAAGGGAGAGAGTTCTTCCTAGCTCCCCTCCCCTCTGAGCAGCTAAGAGAGGGGAGGGGAGCCACCCCCAAAACACCCGTGCCCATGGGAAATGACCCTGACATCATACGAGCTGCCAGCCCTCCTCACCTCAGCCCTGGTCCTGACCCCTCACCCCCCTCTCCCAAGTGTGCGGCTCTAGAGATGGCAAATGGCTTCTTTGGCCTGATCTTCTAGGTACCTCTGTCCTGCTACCTGCCACTTGCCCCAGCCATGCCCATTGCCCAGGCCACACCCACTGTCCTGGCCACACCCACTGTCCTGGCCACACCCACTCCCACTGTCCAGGCCATGCTCATTGCCCCACCCACCACCCTCTGTCCAGACCTCGCCCACAGTCTAGGCCACGCCCACCGCCCAGGCCATACCCATTGCCCAGGCCACACCCACTGTCCTGGCCACACCCACTCCCACTGTCCAGGCCATGCCCATTGCCCCACCCACCACCCTCTGTCCAGACCTCGCCCACAGTCTAGGCCACGCCCATTGCCCAGGCCACACCCATTGCACAGGCCACACCCACTGTCCTGGCCACACCCACTGCCCTGGCTGCCACCCACTAGACAATGCCAATTCCCTACCACATTTATCTACAGTCTCCGCACAGAACTGTCCCCAGTACTTTAGTGTGTGTGTATCTCAGTCATTGGACCTGAACTCAGGGCCTGGGTGCCATCCCTGAGCTTCTTTTGCTCAAGGCTAGTGCTCTACCACTTGAGCTACAGCACCACTTCTGGAGTTTTCTGAGTAATTTCACTGAAGATAAGAGTCTCTTGGACTTTCCTGTCCAGGCTGGCTTCAAACTGTGATCCTCAGATCTCAGCCTCCAGAGTAGCTGGGATGACGGGCACAAGCCAGCGGCGCCTGGCCCATTGGCAACACATTTCCACAACTGTTTGACTCAGTTTTTATCTCCCAAATGCTCTAAGGTGGGATCACTCAGTCTCTACATGCAATGAAGATGCATGATCTGTTTCGGAGCCCACAAGTGGAAACAGGTCGGTGTGCGGCAGAACTGTATTAAGGAAAAAAAATAAAGAATAGAAAGTAAGTCTGGGACTTCAAAAGAGATCGTCTGGTGGCTCTGAATCCCAGTCTCATCTTGCTCTGAGCATTGAGATCCTGGATTAGTTACTTAACCTCTCTGAGCCAACAGGGGAAAACCCATGGAAGATGTCAGCCTATCAGGGGGAAGTCTCCGGAAAGAAATGGAAATGTGTCTAGCCTTCAGTTCATTACTTTGGGCTCCGATGGGCACCCGAAATCCAGGATCTCAGGGAGAATAAAAGCAATTATAACACGGCGGAGTAAAATAGGTTCTTGATTCTCAGGTGGGGAACTGCCAAAAAAGCACTTCATACATTTTTTAAAACATGCCTTGTTACTATTCTGAACTGTCTTCCGCCCCGAGCGCCCAGCTTCCCTGGTTAAAATCCTGGAACCGAAGGTATGGTTCTGGCTGGGTCCACCGTCTAGGTTCTAATGAGCCTCAGTCTTCCTGGTGGAGAGAGATCAAGACTCCAGCTCCAGCCTCAGTTTCCCCTTCCGCTGGGCTCTCTCCATTTCAGAGCCGTCCACGCCACTGGGGCTGACATGGTTCCATTCCCCATCCTCTCCTGGAGCTATGGAATCAGCTGACTTCCTTCAGCCTTCCGCACATCCACTGAGAGCCGGCCTGGGCACATTGGGCTACGCATCATCTCATTTAATCCCCCATGACCAGAGGCCCGACACATTGTCCTCATTGCATAAGCCAGAAAATCAACCCTGGGAGGCAGAGTTGATCACTGGGCCCAAGTCCCGCACAGGAACTTAAGACTCCATTCTGGGCTTTGAACCCCTCTTGTTCACCCCTTCCCCTGTATCTTCTTGCCACAGAACAACACGCATTGTCTCAGCAGGAAACTGGAATGCCCATGACATTTGTATTGGTCGGTTGGACCCAGCAAAAGTGACCACACACTATCAGACCAGATTCTCAAGTATCAACCTGATGGTAACAAAGGCTTTGTGACAATGACATCTTTCCTCTACCAACATCTCCTTGGAGCTGGAAGCCAGTGGCTCACACCTGTCACCCCAGCTACTCAGAGAGCTATGAGGATCGCCGTTCAAAGCCAGCCCGGCGAAAGTCCATGAGACTCTGATCTCCAATAAACCACCAGAAAATGGAAGTGGTGCTGTGGCTCAAGTGGTAGAGCACCAGCCTAGAGTAAAAGAGCTCAGGGACAGTGCCTAGGCTCTGAGTTCAACCCCCAGGACCAGCAAAACAACAAAAATATCCTGTGAAGGGTTCTCTTTCTCCTATGCGGTGGACTGTGATGATTTATATGCCTTTGTGAGACACCTCACAGTCTGTGAATCTCACTCTCCAGAAAACTTCCAGAAATCTCGGTGCCACCAAGACCTCAGCCCTGGGGGAACCAAATGCAGTCTTCACTGTGGCCACCGGACAAGCACCCGATGCTTGGTGAACCAGCCTCTGACCCACTGCCTATCCGGCCTCCCTTCCTTCCTCCTTCTCTCCCTCTTCCCCCTCCTCTTCGCTTCCTCACTTGTAGAGACTATTTGGGTAGAAAGCCAGCTATGCCTTTTCAGGCTCCTGTGGGAACCTCGTCTCCCGCTTTGTCTTCTGGATGGGCTGGGATGGGGGGACCCCGGGTCCTGTCCTGTCCCTGTGGGCGCAGGGCCGGGGCATGGCCGGGCAGGGCAGATGTTTTTCCTGACAGCCGTGATGCGTGCGCACAGCCGGTGAACACCAGAAATGTGTGTCTCCTGTGGTCTCAAGCTGATGCCCGGGCCCGGGCCTGTCCTAGATCTGTGCAGAGGGCAAGCCAAGGAGACACCGGCCACGGCCGACTTCCGTGATGGGTGGGGACACAGGAGGCTGTTGCTCCCCTTGGCCTAGGGCCGCGTCAGGAGTTCGGGGCCTTGGACTCGCAAGGGGCATGGGGCCGAGCCTGGAGGGGCTGACAAAAGCTATTAACCTCGTAGCGTGTCTCTGAAGAACAAAACAAGGGGCAGAGTTGAAAACATGGTGAGGGCCAGAAGTGGGAGGACGCCGTTGCTAGGGTTAGAGACCATTCTAGAAATCCCAGGCGATCGCGTATGCGTGCAACATACCCACACACGTGCACGCACACACACACGATGCTGTGGTGAACTAAATCACCCCATGAGGGACAAGGGCCGAGGGCCGCGCACGGGGAGGCTCAGTGAGTGGTAATCCATAGGCCTAGATGGAAGGGGGTAGGGTGGGGGGGGCAGGAAGGAGGGAAGAGGCGGGAGGGGGGGAAACCAGACACTGCACACAGGAAAACAAAACAGAGCCAAGTACAAGGCCCTGGCTCGAAGCTGACATCGCAGCCGCCAAGACGATCAATCCAGCGGGAGAGGGAAGGGCTGGGGGAACCACTGCCTTCAGATCTAACACCCCCAGAGTTGGGGGGAGCTTGGTCAAGGCGATCCCAGGGTCTGCAACCCAGGCAAGGGCATGGATGGATGGACGGGATAGATGGACGGATGGATGGACGGATGGACAGATGGGCGGTGTCGTCTCCATGGAGACCAGCAACCCGCCTCCAGGTTCGTTTTTATCTTTTTTAAATTCTCCTAACCAGCTCGGAAAGAGAGCCTAAACCTTCAGGCAAGTAGAGAGCTCTGCTTCCACAAGGCCACCGAGCCCCACATGTCAGAGCTACCGGGTTCACTTCCAGACACACAACATGGAAGGTTCTAGAACCCAGCGTCCGGTCTCCGCACAAAGCTGACAGCACACCCACCCGACGCACCCTGAGCCACTTCTGCCAGCCCGGCACTGGTCTGAGCCCTGGGCCCCGCCCACCCAGGCCCCGCCCCCTCACTCACCTTATCCGCCATGATCATGGAGGAGCCGCCGTGGATGCCCAGGATGGGGGTGAGCGTCTGCGCGGAGATGAAGTCGAGGATCTGGGCGATGGCCTCCTGGTCCGTGTCGTCGGCGAACACCACGCCCTGCACCTTGCGGTCAGACATGAGGTCGCAGATGCGCGTGATGATGCTCTTGGGGTCGGTCTCGTTCATGGCCACGAGCTCCACGCGGGGCACCACGGACAGGTGGTGGAAGTCATCTTTCTCGTGGGCGTCCTTGATGGCCACCTCGTCCGAGGTGCCCACGAGGATGACCGCGATGCCGATGCTGGGGGAGCTCTTCTGGGATCGGGCCCGGCTGCCGGACACCGCCAGCACCGCCAGCACCAGCCAGAACTTGGGGGAACAGCACTCGGTCCGGGCCTTCATCTTCAGCTTGTCGACTCCCTGCAGACACAGTGGGGGGGAGAGGGAGAAAGGGAGGGGGGGAGAGAGAGAAAGAGAGAGAGAGAGAGAAACACACGATTATACATGGCCAGAACCATGTAATACCCCAAGTCTTGTCCTCCTGTCTACCAGTGACCTTGATGCCTTCTAGAGGTCACCAAAGCCAACTTCCATATCCAGCCCTGTCTCTTTTTGTCTTTTCTTTGTCAGTCCTGGATCTTGAACTCAGGGCCTGGGCGCTGTCCCTCCTGAGCTCTTTCACTCAAGGCTGGCGCTCTACCACGTGAGCCACAGTGCCACTTCTGGCTTTCTGGTGGTTCATTGGAGATCAGAGCCTCACAGACTTTCCTGCCCAGGCTGGCTTCGAACCATAATCCTCAGATCTCAGCCTCCTGAGTGACTGGGACGACAGGCGTGAGCCACAGCACCCGGCTCAGCCCAGTCTCTCATCTCTGGTGCTTTCCTGGCAGACTTTTGACGGTCACCCAAAGAGGCCACTGCAGAAACCACAGAGGAAAACGAGGAGAGCTGGGATTTGCGATGCCAGGTGTACATGCAGGAGTCTGCAGGATGCGGGGAGGTCTCCCCATGGCTGGGGACCCCTGGATGCATCTGTTAGAAACCATCTTGAGGCTGCTCTTGGCCAGGCCAAAGGAGCAGCGGAGGCTGGCGACAAAACCTGGCCCTGAGTTCAAGACCCAGTACTGGCACACACACACACACAGATCAGAGGTCCTCAGATCCTTCAGACAGACAGCAAAGCACACTAATGACTCCAGAATAAGATGCCAGGGACATTCGGTGGCGGAGGAAGCTCAAACCCCAGTTCTTGGCAGGAAACCTCCTGGAACCCTTCTTGCTGTGGTCAGTCGGCCAAGGAGGAGACCTGCATCGATCGCCCGTCTGGCGCACAGACGAGACGCGTGGCTCGGTGGTTCACACCAGTGCAGTCTCTCCATGTCTCGGTGCAGCTATGGAGTATGACCACAGTCCCGAGAGCCCCTGTGGACGGCCTGCGTGCCGGCCAGCAAGGAAACCAACGCTGGACGGCCGCGTCTCAGAGTTTCAGGAAAACACACACAAAAAAACCCCAACAGCGAACTGAACAGCATTGAACTGTCAGTGAAAGACAGCCTTAAAGAGCTGGGGAGAGGGAAAAAAAATATATATATAATATAGATAAAAATAATATAAATAAATATGTAATGATATAAATAACATAAAACATATAATAAAAATATATAATATGGCATATAAAATATATATAATATTTGCTAGCTTCCAAGAACTGGTTCTCGAAAAGAAGCAAAAGATTTAGAATCTGGCCAAAAAAAAAAAAAAAAGTGACAGCTCACTTCGTTCCCAGGGGACTGTAATCCTGCCGATCCCCGACGCCCGATTACATTCCTGCACCTGTCAAAGCGGGGCCGCTCTCTGCCCCGGCGGCCTGTGAACGCTAATGGCTTCCTCCCGTCCGCAAGGAGGTTTTTATTTGCTCTCTGGAAACGTTCCCGGAGTGTGTCTCCACACACGATCTGCTCACTGTACCCATGAAACAGTCGGGGGCCCACAGGGACACTCAGAAGAACGGGTCTCCCGCACTCCGTACCGATAGAGAGCAGCGTTTTTACAAGGCCATACATTACGGAGTCTGTGGTAATGGGACGGCCGACAAACCAAGAGGTCGCGTTGAATTCAAACCATTTCAGACAGGAGGAGGTGGCTGAGAGATAGCCTGTAGTCCAAGACAAGCGTGGGGGCAACGCTGCCTTTCAGACTGTGTGCACCCACTTCCAAAAGCTTCTCCCCTCCCCTCCCCTGCCTGTTATGCTCCTCCAGGAGAGCTGACCATCGTATGCTCTGGGCCATCACCAAAGCCTGCACATATCTATCTACATAACTAAAACTCGCCGGGCCCCATGGCTCACGCCTGTCATCGCAGCTACTCGGGAGGCTGAGAACTAGAGGATCGCAGTTCAAAGCTACCCAGAGCAGGGAAGTCCATGAGACTGATCTCCAAGGAACCACAGGAAAACCGGAAGTAGAGCTGTGGCTCAAGTGGTAGAGCGCCTATTACTGAGCATCTATTTGTCGGCCGACATTACAGCCTCCCCCACACCCCTACCATGGAACCCAGAGACTCAGGCATGCTAGTTGGTTAGTTCCACTGCTGAGCTACATCTGAGCCGAGGAATACACTACAGGACCTCCATCTCACAGGATGCGTGGGTGCCCAGGAAGGAAAATCTCGCCCCATTTCTCTTCACTCTTGGGGTCTGCTCTGTGGGAGGGGTGGGCTGGAGGTGTGGCTCAAGTAGTAGAGCACCCACCTAGCAAGCCAGGGGCCCTCAGTGCCAGCCCTGACGTGGCCGGAAATTTAAATACATAAATAGTGTCTTTTAAGTAAAGCTAACCAATAAGGAACATCTTGTCTCATCTCCATTCACTGTCTTGGGGTCTCTAATTAATTCATGAATTAATAAGAAATATCTCATTTCCCACTCCCTCACTTGGAGTTCATACTACTTTATAATAAGTTGATTAATTAATGCGATAAATAAGGACAGACTCGATGCGTGGTGCTCAGTATGAATTTCTACCCTGAGGCTGGATATATAATATTGCTGGCCTAGAACATTCTGATCCATAACCATCTAGCCTACATGTCAGGTGATTTTGCATGCATTCTTAGATCTTTTTTTTTCTTTTGGGCTGGTGCTGGGTCTTGAACTCGGGGCCTGGGTGCTGTCCCTGAGCCTCTTTATGTTCAAGGCTGGTGCTCTACCACTTGAGCCACAGCACCACTTCTAGCTTTTTCCGAATAGTTTACTGCAGATAAGAACCTCATTAGATTTTCCTGCCCAGGCTGGCTTTGAACTGCGATCCTCAGATCTCAGCCTCCTGAGTAGCTAGGATGACAGGCGTGAGCCATCAGCGCCCGGCTAAATCTTTATTCAAACAAACAAAAACAAAAAGCATAGTAGGTCATCATTTGTCCTGATCTGACACACAAGGAAGGGTACGGAAAGGTGAGGCCCACATCATGGTCACATGATTATAATATAAAAGATGATATCCAGTTTCAAACCCAAATTTATCATCTGACTCAAAAAAACCTTTTTTCTCCTTGTGGGTCTGCCTGTCTGCACAGGTGGATATATGCGTGCATGAATGAATGGATGGATGAATGAAGTCTCAGAATGCTGGCCTCTTCCCTCAGGGGTAAGGTCAGGGTACCTCTCATCTCCAGGATGGATGGGCTGGACGAGGGTGGGGGCCCGGAGGTTACGATGGGACCTCGAGGTGGGCAGGAAACATCCGTTCCCCCCCACACCCGTCCATGCACGCAGACAGGGTGTGGTCACCCTGTCTCAGGTCCAGCTTCCTCGAGTTCCAATGCTGACCAGACACTGGGCACAGACTCCTCACACGCAGCCCCACACAGAATTAAGTCCAGCGGGGCTGCAGGAGCCGAGGTTTGCATGTTAGCAGAATTCTGATACCAAGACAACATCAAATGCAAGGGGGCAGATGTTGAAAAAGACCGTGAGCGGTGTCATGTGCTACACAGATACCCTAATCGGAAATTCATCCCCGCCTACAAGTTGGCATTAGACCGGGATAAACTAAAAAAACAGGGCTGGGCAGGTGGCTCAGTGGTAGAGCGCTTGCCTTGCATGCCTGAGGCCCTGGGTTCGATTCTTCAGCACCACATAAGCAAAAAGAAAAAAGCTGGAAGTG